ATAAATTCTGCAATTTTAAATAATCAGAATTTTAAAACTAATGTGTTAACCAGTGATTCATGAAATATAGCTGTTGATGACAATTTTGTTCCACTTTAACTGTGTGTAGTCAAGATTGTTAAGCAAAGTACTCAAAATAATTCATTTTTTACTAAATTACAGAATCATTTGATTGAGTTGTCTTGTCATATTGTTTGTTCATGTACCCCAAACCTAATTTCTATCAAATTTTCAGATCATACTTATAAATTTTTATTGTTTTAAAGCATTTTAAATAGAATCTCCCTCTCTGTGTTATGTCATAAACACACATACACACATACATATGATGACTGCCATCGAGTCTATTCTGACTCATAGTGACTCTGTGTAGGGTTTCTGAGACTATAAATCTTTATGGGAGCAGAAAGCCTCATCTTTCTCCCTTGCAGCAGCTGGTGGATTTGATCTGTCAATGATGTTGTTGACAATCCTACAGTATCACCAGATCTCCATATACCTATAGAAAGAATATTTTATGCCAGATGAGCTGTTAGGTTTTTTTTTTTTTTTTCTGTAAGTAAGCATCTCTACTATTCAGGGCTTGGCAAGATGAGTAGCCCATTCAGGATGATGAAGATGTTAGGATCATTTTTGTTTTCTTTGCCTCCAGGACACAGATTTGTTTTACTCTCCTAGCCAACCCTGAGTAGCCATTGTCTGCATCACTGCCACTGTCTCCTTTCATAATAGGCATGTCCTGGTACTTTTCTCTTGTCTGCTCAGGACTGGTTTCCCTCCCCTTGAATGACCCTGAGCAACTCTCATGTCTAAAATTCCCAGCTCCCACAGAAGTGACCTTTTCCTTCGATGTGGGGAATGGACCTTGTGAGGTCACAGTGCAGTCACCCACTCCATTTAATGACAATCGGTGGCATCACCTGAGGGCAGAGAGGAACGTTAAGGAAGCACTCCTTCAAGTGGATCAGCTGCCTCGAAAGACACAACCTGCCCCTGCTGACGGACACATCCACCTACAGCTCAATAGCCAGCTCTTTGTGGGTGAGTGCTGGGGGTTTGTAAATAACTGAACCATAACTATGAATATGATAGTAACAACAGTTATCTCCAGTGATGATGGCCATTCCATTTGACAGTACCAACACCATATTTAATAGTTGCAACCGGGAACATAAGTATTATGTTCCCAGTTTACAGATGAGATAACGGAGGCTCTTATCTATCAAGTGGCATGACTACAGAAACCCAACTAGACAAGAAATCCAAACCCATGATTTCTAAAAAGTTTTTATTGTGATTTGATTGAAAGTTTACAGGGCAAACCACCAGTTTTACGTTCAACAAATCATATACTTTGTTTCATTATAATGATTATAATACATGTAATATCAGTCAACAGTATTTCTCTCTAATCATTTTAGGTCTTTTTTTTTTTTTTTTTTTTCTTAAAATACTCAGGCATATATGTAATAATTTAAACCACTTAAGGGCACATTCTGCAAGCCTGCCTCCTGGCCGCCAGCAATCAGTCCCTCTCTTTCTCTCCATGTTCTCATCTCTGCCTCTATCTCTGGCATCACTGCTTCTCTTGATAGGGTCCCACATTCTGCTTGTGCTCTTCTCCCTTGATTGTCCTACGGTCCTCTGTTTCTGGACTATAAGATTAACTACTTCCCCATTTTTGATACAAAATTTCTACCTTTACAGTTGCGACCGTCTCAAGTAGTCATGATAACAATTACTCGCTATTGAATCATAAGAATCTTATCCCCATCTCTTTTCACCAAACCAATCTAGACAAGATGAAAACTATTCAGTGGGGACTCTATCTTCCCCTGCATACAGCCAGTCACTTCATGCCTTTATCACCCCCTCATTTTAGGTGGCTGTGGCTGTGTGCCATGGAGTCGGTTCCGACTCATAGCAACCCTATACAGGGTTTCCAAGGCTGTAAATCTTTACGGGAGCAGAACGCCTCATCTCCCGCGGAACAGATGGTAGTTTCAAACTGCTGATCTTGCAGTTCGCAGCCTAATTCGTAACCACTACGCTACCAGAGCTCCTTTTAGGTAATCAGTGTTTAAGTTGCCTGACCATATCTACCCTGTGCACAGAGGGGATAGCATTGATACTAGATATGAAGACTCCATCCCTCTCTGTTGGTATTTTGAGCTACTACATCCATGAGTATAGGTCAATTTCATCAAGTTGTAGCAATTTATCCTTGTTTCCTTTATCCAAAAAAATTGTTTTTTTAAATTTTTATTTTTAATTGTCCTCTAGTTGAGTTCTGATTATCAAGCCATCGAGGCTAGGTCAAATGGGTACTATTTGCAAGTTTGGATGTTCTCGTGCTCCAAACCCATGTTTGAGTGATTTCCAAGTTTGTGCTTGATAATATAGATGATCTGTGTTTATTTCAGCTACTTCTTAATAATGCCGCTTATAAAATAACTAGCAATTTTATCCACTTCTTCAATTTTGCCTCTCAATGGATTTAGAGATCCTACCTTGTAATTGTGGCTACCAGTGTCCACTCAGAAACAGTCTAGTGAGGGACAATGTACAAAGAAGAAATACTGTGTGTGTACCAGGGCTTCACTTCCAGAAGCCCTGCTTCTGATTTCCTATTCATAATCTAATCTGGCTCCTTTATTTTTTTAAGGAGATTTTATTAAGTCTAATTAGACTTTATTAAGTTTGATCATTTAAAGATCACAGTTCTGAGTAATGAAAGTCTTCCCATGAATTTACTTGTTTATTGTTCTATTATTGTTCATTTTTCCAAAGGGAAAAGTTCTATTTTGCAACCTTACTTTTTGTATTTGTAAACAATTGTATTCTAATTTGGAAACTGAACATATTAAAATAAGTGGTTCATGGTCATTTTTTATGCATGTTAAAATAAGTACAGACACAGTAAAACTGAAAACTGATAAAAATCACAAATTATCAAACAGGGAAAATACTTTGCCTTTGCTAGAGGACGCCTATAACATCTGGGGACTAATGCTCTTTAGTGAGCTCGTGTGTGCATATGTGTATGTCTGTACAACCCATGGCACCATAAAGACTCAGCTTCAAGCACAGTTAGTTCTTATTGCATGAGACTTCTCTTCAGACCATCAAACTGCTTGACATTAGGAGCACCCACCTCCATCAACTGCTGTCAGTTAACCTTGACTCATGACAACCCCATGTCTGTAAGAGTAGCCCTGTGTTCCATAGGTTTTGAATGGCTGATTTTTCAGAAATAGATCACCAGACCTTCCTTCCAAGCACCTCTAGGTAAACTCTACCCTCCAACTTTCAATTACCATTCCCATTAGAAAAAAATTTTTAAACTTGTGAAGCTAGTTGAAATTCATGTTTGAAAACCTATCAGAGACTGACTAGATCTGAATCCCTGGATTTGGGTACAAGAATCAATATTTTTTATGAAGTCCACCTTTCAGGTGAGCCCTATTCTCCAGTACTTGAGAACCATTGTCCTTAAGCTCACGTAAAACAGGATAGAAATGTATCCGTACTTTAGAGTAGATGGGGTAAAATTGCTCAACAAAATTCTTGTAGGAAAGTTTTTGCTACCCTTGAAAAATGAGCAGGTACAATGTTGCTATGGGGAAAATATACCCTTCTATAATTTTTCTGACTTGTTTCTCACCATTGTAGTTTGCAGTTTTCTTAAAACTTATTCCCTTATTTATGTCCTGTGTCCTTTGAGAAAATCTATCAAGATAACCTCTTTGGTACACCCCCAAACAGTCACCATTACCTTTTGAGCTGCCTTTTCTGCCTTGAATTTCACTGACCTAGAAGATCCAACTACTATTTTGGTTGGATCCTTGCTCTCTGGACACTACTAGTAAATCCAAGACTCATCTCTGATTATTATTTGTTTCAGAAAATCATCTGTATTAGCTTCAATCTTATTTAAAAGGCTAATGGAAAGATTGGCTATTTGAACTGCTGATCTTTATGCAACTGAACTCAGAATTTGGCACCTGTTGGGCCAAAAACTTGCCAAGGCCAAGATGTTCACTTAAAATCGAGAATGTAAATCTCAACGTCAGTAGCTATGGTGTCAATGATAATTCAACAGTTGTCTTCTACCAGTTTTGGGACTTCCGCCTCAGTTTCTTTGTCAAGATTGATGGTTGTCTCTCTCGTGGCTCATTTTAGAGGTCTTTCTGACCTTCTTTGAAATGCTTGGTCTGTCTGAAAACTGTTGTTTTATATGGGGCAGCATTCCTACCAACATTTAGTTGCAAAGCATCCATAATTTTGGAAGATGTCCACTTGAGTTTTGTTAAAAATTTGATACTAGCCTTGACCTCAAAGTCTTTTTTTGTCCATCATACAAAATGTATCCTTTGTTTCGAAGGCACCCTTAACAAGACTAACACCAGTATATTACTGAGAGAACTTGTCTGCAGTCATCAACTAATTGCAGTTGTTGTAACTGTTAGGTACCATTGAATTGGTACTAATTTATAGCAGTCTTATGCACAATAGAACGAAACACTGCCTTGTCTTGTGCCAACCTCACAATCGTTGCTGCACTTGAGTCTGCTGCTGCTGTCACTGTGCCAATCTATCTCATTGGAGGTCTTTTAATTTTTGCTAACCCTCCACGTTACCAAGCATTTTGCACTTTTTCAGGGACTGGTCCCTCCTGATAATATGTCCAAAGTATGGTAGACGAAGTCTGGCCATCCTGGCTTCCAAAACAAAGAGCATTCTGGCTGTATTTGTGTTAACACAGATTTGTTTGTCCCTTTGGTAGTCCATCGTACTTTTAATATTCTCTTCTAAAACCATCACTCAAATGTATCAATTCTTCTGCGGCCTTCCTTATTCATTGCCCAACTTTCCCATGAATATAAGGGTATTGAAAATGCCATGGCTTCAGTGAGGCGCACCGTAGTCCTCAAACTGACATCTTTGATCTTGAACATTTTAAAATGGTCTTGTGCAGCAGAGTTGCCTAATGAAATACATCCTTTGATTTCTTGACTGCTGCTTCCATGAGTGTTGATGGTTGATATCAGCAAAATGAAGTCTTTGACAACTTCAATCTTTTTCTCCATTTTTCTTGATGTCATTTATTGATGCAGTGGTAAGGATTTTTGTTTTGTTGACGTTGAGGTGCAACCCATAATGAAGGCTGTGGTCTTTGAACTTCATCAGTAAGTATTTTAAGTCCTCTTTGATTTCAGTAAGCAAGGTTATATCATCTGCATATCACAGGTTGGTAATGAGTCTTCCTTCAGTTCTGATGCCATGCTTTTCATATAATCCAGCTTCTTGAATTATTTGCTCAGCAGACAGATTGAATAAGTATGGTGAATGCACACAACCCTGTCACACACCTTTCCTAATTTTAAATCCTCCAGGTTTCCCATATTCTATTCAAACAATTGCCTCTTTGTCTACATACAGATTCTTCATAAGCACAATTAATTGTTCCAGGACACTGGTTTTCTGCATTGTGGTCCACAGCTTGTCATGATCCACACACTTGAAAGCATATGTATAGTCAATAAAATACAGGAAAACAGCTTCTTAATATTATCTGCTTTCAGCCAAGATCTATCTGATGTCAGCAATGTTATCCCTCATTTCAATTCAGTCCTCATCTGAATCCAGATTGAACTTCTGATAGTTCTCTATTCATGTACTGTTGCAGTTATTTTTGAATTATAATTAGCAAAAATTTACTTGCATACAATATTAATGATATTGCCTGACAATTTCCATATTTCATTGGGCCACCTGTCTTTTGAAGGAGCACAAATATGGACCTCTTCCAATCATCTGGCTAGGTAGCTATCTCCCAAATTTCTTGGCATAGATGAATGAGTGCCTCCAGTGCCACATCAGTTTGCTGAAAAATTTCCATTTATATTCCATCAATTCCCAGAGTCTTGATCTTTATTTTCTTCAGTGCCATCAGTGCACCTTGGACTTCTTCCTTCAGTATCAATTGCTCATATGTAAGTTCAGGCTGAAGCTGAAGAAAACAAATCCACAAGAGCCAA